ACAGGGTGAAGAAGAATTAATTGGTATTCAACATCTCCAAAACTAAGTGTATGACATTTTGCAGCAGCCACATGTTACCAAGGTGGGGCAGGTCACCAAATTTAAACTGTTGGGCATTAGAATAGACAACTTATTGTCCTGGTCGGATCACATTGACCATATAGTCAATATGATGGGCCGAGGAAACTTTATGTCAAGAAAGTGCTCTGCATATTGTTCAACCACTGTATTGAAAAATGTTCAAAGTCCTGTTTTATCTCATTTACAGTACTGTACAGTAGTTTGGTCCAGGGCGGCCCAAAAACGTCTAAGAAAACTGCAAATATCCCGAACAGAGCAGCCAGAGTAGTTTTGAACTGTCCTCTTTGAACTAATGTGCACGAGACACATCTCAAGTTGTCGTGGTTAACTGTGGAGGCAAAAGTAAAATATAGTCTTCTGATGTTTATGCAAAAAGCTATGACTAATTTTACTCACCATCGTTTGAAAGAAAGAATATTACTTAGTGGATATTGCCATGAGTACGTAACACGCCTGGTAAGCAATAACATGGTTATAGTTCCAAGACCTAGAAGTCATTTTATGAAGAAAACCATTCTGTATAGAGAGACTGTTGAGTGGAATACACTACCATGTTGTGTTAGGGAAATCCGAAACCAGAGTACTTTTAAGAAGACCATAAAAAAGGCTAAGCATTGTCTGTTTTGTTCTCTCAGTTGTGATAGTACGAGAAGAAAGGTGTTTTCAGACAGCAATGTAAGTTAAGGGTATCTTGTCGATGGTATTGGTTGGTCACAACAGCTTTTAAAATCCTAATGTAATAATTTATAACATTTTAATCATATGTATTGTTAAATGTATTTTGTATTTTGAAAATGGACCCCAGGAAGATTAGCAACCACTGCTGTGGAAGCTAATGGGGATCCAAATAAAGCAATTAAGCAATCATCACCATTATCACCATCATCATCGTTGCCATCACTATCACTATCAACACCACCACCATCATCACCATCTTACAAAGCCCCTCCCATCCACTGCATTCCACTGTGGAGACCATGGACAGCTCCTTCAGAGGCAGACTGAGACATCCCAGATGTAAACAGAATGCTACCGTAGGTCATTCATCTCCTCTGCAGTAAGAGTGTAGAACTCCTCAGTTTAAAGTCTCTTTCTGGAGTATTTCTCTCATCCGGGGTCACCATCTAATGGCTGACAGGCATATCACACAAATAATTTCTTCAGTTATTTCAAGATGGCGACTTCACGTTTCTAGTTTATTTATGTCTTTTTGTAGCTGACAAACAGATAAAACACGTTGTTTTACAAGTATTATGCTCATGTCATGCTGTGTTCTCATATATTTATATTTTAGAGATTTACTTGTCCATGAAAAGTTCATCAACTCTGCATCAGCTGAGGTATTCCTTACATTTGAAGCACGTAAGCGGTAGTTTAACACTATTGGTTAGTTCTTGTCGGCGCTCAGTTTCCTATTGCACGGAGCTCTGCGGGGCAGGGGGCGTGGTTAGCAAAAAAACTAAAAATAAAAGACGTATTGCTTAAATTAAATCACAGTACAGTCAGCCTAAAGTTTTGAGAATGACACAAATATTAGTTTTCACAACGTTTGCTGCTGAACTGCTTTTAGATCTTTGTTTCAGGTGTTTCTGTGATGTACTGAAATATGATTACAAGCACTTCATATGTTTCAAAGGCTTTTCTTAACAATTATATGACATTTATGCAAAGAGTCAGCATGATACATGTGACAGACCCATCTAGTGGACAACTTTTGTTTCTGCGCATACCTGTAGATATCGTCCATTTATCTTTATTGAGGTGAAATCCTCAATATATAGTGATATTGATTTTAGAGCTCCAAGTCCCAGAGTCCCCCTTCTCGAGAGGTGTAGAGGAATGCCCCAGGGGGTCACAACCAGCAGCCGGCAGAGTCCCGGGAGATATCAGTGGCAAGCCCACAGGCCCACCCGCAGCCCCACACCTCCAAGCCGGCCGAGCCTGGAACCCAGCGACCCGGTACCCAGGGGCAACCAGCCCCGCCGGGGACCCAGCAGAGGCCGGGGACTCAGATCCCACCAGGCAGATGCCAAAAATCTTAAACCCCCTGACCCGGTAGCCACAAACACTCAGGCAGACCAAGGCAGCACACTCTACACCAAATGTGGCAGGGGGAGGGTAGGCAAAGATGTGTAGTAGCACAAGAAGTCCCAGGCGAGGGGAGGAGTCCAAGAACCCACCTGACATATACAGCCATACACAAACACAGTCACACACTCCCTCCCTCATGCTCACACATACACATACAACCAAAGACTTACAAAAATGCACGCCGGACACCCACTCATGCTCCCCATACACACCCTATTCACTCTGGTCCCGGTACTGCTGCACATGGGGGACAACCATCACCGGTTCCCAGAGTTCGACCCTTTCTGCTGGAGTGCTGATGAGCAGGCTCCCCCGCCCAACGCTGAGCAAAGCAACCCACCACCCCAGACCCCAACATGACGGCCAGCTTCCCCTCCTAACCTCTCTCCCCGGAAAGCCAAGCGACAACAGAGGTGTGCTAAGACCACTAGTCTCCCTCCGCTTGCTCCAATACAGTGTTAGTGCATGTTGATGAGGTGTATTCCATGGCTGTGGTGAGCAGGCAGTGCAGGCATTGTCTGGCCTATGCCAGCTGATGCAACCACACAACCACACTTCCCCCCACAGCCCTCTGTGTCTAAGTGCAGTTTAAAATTGGAAGTGGGCACCAGCACTCGAGATGAGGCTGAAAGATCCCCTTGCCAAATGCCGTTAAGTATGCTCACTCCCAAAGCCCTAAGGGGGTGTTTGCGTGGAATGTCGTTGATGGAAGTGTTTAAGGTGCAAATAAAATTGGGGGGCAGGTTGCCACAGGAATGCGGAAATGGGATCCATACCCGCACCCCTGACTTGCCCACCCCCCAAGGTCTTATTGGCATGATTGTGTGTTGACGTGAAGGAGCAGGAGGAGAAAAATGTATGGGGATGGGGAGGAATGGCTGGTTGGCCTAAGCCCTCCAGGAAGCCAGCTCCCCCACTGGCCCCAATAGCTACCTCCGTTCCCAAAATGCCCCCCAGGGCACGGAGACCCCAGCCCATCTCGCCAGGACCCAAAGCAGCAGCATCGCAGAGCCCCACGAAGTCCAAGGGCTCCAACCCAGCCCCACCCCAGCAGAATATCTACTCCCATCCTTGCATTTGAACAACTTCCAGAATATGTAAGACATGAGACATCCAGGTATGGTTGGGTCCTCCCCCTCCTGGACATCCACCTCTCCCGTGATGGGACAGAGTTGTTATTATTCCAGAGGAGCCAAGGTCCACCTGAGGCCCTTGAGCCTGGGCCATGCACTGCCGCTTGCTCCTGCCTTCCTCCCGGCATCTTACGAGTCAGGACCTAATCCCTAAGTCCCCACCCAGATCCCCACACGGGGCCTGCCACCCTCACATTTCGAGTCCCCAGGCCCCCACCCAGACCTACTCAGAAGCAATGCAACCACTGTATATCTGTGTCTCCTGCAGTATGCTGCATTGTGTTGGAACCAAAGTTTTTTTCCTTTTTTATTCATGGGTTTTAGTGGTCGAAGGGTACAATACTAGACTACTGCCTATGTGTACACATGTACCTTTGTTAATATTCTCTTAAGTGTTGGTGCTGCTGTAACAAGTGTATTACCCCACTGTGGATCAATAAAGTCTATTCTATTGTATTCTACTCTGTGACAGATGCTGTCACTTTCTGGCCTCTAGAGGGCCTCAGTACTCTGCCTGCACAGCTGCAGGCAATTGGGTTCATGGAGCCTCCCTGTTAAAAGGGAGCTCTCAGAGTCATTCAGGGAGAGATGTCAGATGGGCGTTGGTGCGGAGGTGTTAATTCTCCTCTCTCTCTCCTCGGTTAAGACGTTAAAGTCTCCGTTTGTTACCTGAGTGGTATTTCTTGTTTTGACACCTAAGTGGTAGTTCTCGTTTCGTGACCTGAGTGGTATTTGTGTTTATATTTATAGTAGTTCGTGTGTCCTCATTTCATGAGAGACTTAGCTCACCTTTTTGGTGCAGATTTTGTGTTATTTCGTTTAGCTTCATTTCCAGCCCTTTCGCGCTGCGCCTTCAGTTTGTTAGAATTTATTGAGTTATTTAGAAACCCCTTTCGTTTATTTATTCCCAGTAATTGGATGACCCTTTTGTTTCCTTTTTCAGCCCAGAGCGCTGTTTGTGTAATAAACTTCCTTCTAAGAGTTTTAATTTGGTTTGTTTCATTCACGTACATATTTTATTTACTCCCTTAAATCACAACGTGCTCCTAGCGAAGCCAAGGGACGTAAAATACTCTTAACACAAGTAAAACTCCACGACTGACTCATTATTCGCATCACACACATTTCACTGTAACATCCAGTTGTTGGCCAGCTTGAAATATTTTCAGAGCAGTCAATTTGCTTCTAATTCACTGTTAGCATTGTTAGCTGAACGTTAGCCTCTAGCCTGCTTCACTCAATACCATAGTAAAACCAAAAGATGCAGTGGCTTCTTAGGGGTACAAGAAATAACTTCTGGGTCGCTCCTGTTTACTGGCTTGGCTCTGGAGCTTTTAGCCTGCTGGTGTTGAATTACAAATGCTGGCACTGCTGCCTTTGCTTGGGTTAGGGTTGGGGAATCTCAGAAACCCAGAGATTATAAACTACATCTGTTTTATTTTTGTTGAATGAAGAAAAACTGGCAACCCCCCCAGCTGTTTCATTACAACGTTTCTTCCAACATGCCCGAGACATTAGACTCTTTTCTGATTATGTCACAAGAGATTTCTAACTTATTGCTCTTTTAAATGTTTCCGTAGCAACTAGTCAGTGTGACATCATCGTCTCCACCGTAAAAACCAACAAACTGCATCCTGAAGTCTTTACAACACGAGCAAAACCAACAGATCTCCCAGCCATCTTCAAGTTTTGTACCTGTGTGTGGGGAACTTCTCCTTCACTGATTGGATAATGAGTTTCTCCACCTTCTGGTCAGTTTGAGTCACCAAATCCACGGCTGAACTTTTCGTCATCACCTTCCTGTCACCAGCCAGGGCCGCCTGCACCACCTAATCAATGCATGAGTCAATAAAAACACCAAGGTTCATTGTTATGACATAGAAACAGCAGGGAAGTCCTAGTTTACAGTTCTCCGTCACGCACAAAGACCTTTTCCTTTGTACTTCTTCGAAGCGTTTTACCATTAGTGCGAGGAAATTATAGCAGGATCTCGTAGTAATGATGTATAAAAGTAATTTCAACAAGAATGTTTGAAATAGCATGTTTAACATCTCGTAATAATCAGATTGTTCTATAGTGTGAAACACGGATGTTTGAATCTTTGTCCAGAAGAGACAAAGGAAGGAAACAGAGTCAGGGACAGCCTCTTTATGCCTTTTTAAGAAAAGCAACAAGTCAGAGGATCACATTCATGCAGGCCGAACATGAGAATAGTCTCCTACACCTATCTCCTGCTCTAGCTTCTGATAGAAAACAGACGGTGAAACTGCAGGATAGAAAATCCTGACAGATTTACATCACACTGTCACTAACATTCATGGACTCAACCATCTGGACTCACGACGGGGAAGGCTGTTGTTGGTTTAGCGTCCAGGAAACAGCAGAGAATGCCTCGGCTAGTAGAAGCTAACTTTTAGCATTAGCAACTCCACCACACAGCAGAACTCCTCCAGGCTTGTGTTATTGGTGGAGATGAAACATCAACGTTGCAGAGCAAACAGAGTCAGTGGTAGAGTCGTGTTGCTGTTAGCCAATCAGAGGAGATATGTCCACATCCCGCTGTGTGAAGCTACTGTCTCCTCCAGCGGATATCTGAAAGCTTGTAAACACATATCCACTTGGTTGTCATTGAGCTGGAACTGAATTCATCCAGAATGAAGGAGACTGAATGTCTGTTCAGTCTGTCAATCGCAGATGTGAGTGCGCTCTCCGTCACTTTTATAGTTAAAATTGGGCTCTACTCCGTCCGTCCTAGCGTGCCCGTCTGAGGCGCTTGCATCAACGGATCATGGCGCTGTGTGAAGTATAAACTGGGATTAAGGAGGATTCGCCTTGTGTTCGTGTTGAGGATGGTCTCAGCCTCAGATGTGCTGGACAATGGGTTTCTTCCTAAAACCAATCTACACTACAGCTGCAGTAACAACGAATCTCTGGAATCGGAACAACTGCTGAACCTCTGCAGCAGCACACGTGCGATGCATTAGCGCCTGACAAGGAAGCACAGTCCTGGAGAAGGTGTCCATCAGCAGATCACTGAACTCTATTTAAACAGAAATACAACCGGGGGGGGGGGGGTTTCATCTCACCTCACCAGCTTTTCGTGCGACAGCAACTGCATAATCCATGACGGTCTGGAGGGAGTCAGCCATATTGGAAGGGTGGCTCCTGTAAGGGGACAAGCTCAGGTCAGCTTTCTAGCAGAGGGAAGTTGTTAATTAATAAGCATCAGAGCCACGTGAGCTAGCTCATGTTTATAGAGGCTGAAGGTCACAATAATAGCTTACAGCCTTTGTGTGTTTACAAGTTCTCTTGTTGGCTCTTCCTTCTTCCATCTCAGGAACATTGCTAAGCTGAGTCCCATTGTGTCCCACTCTGAACTTGAGACTGTTCTCTACACCTTCATCTCCTCACGCTTAGACTACTGCAACTCTTTTTCACTAGTCTGGGCAGAACCTCCGTGAACCGTCTACAGGTGGTTCAGAATGCCTGTGCTCAGCTTCTGACCAAGTCCTCCAAACACACCACATCACCCTGCTTCTCCTCCAGCTTCACTGGCTGCCAGTCACCTTCAGGGTTCATTTCAAGATCCTGGCAGGGGCGGATTTAGCAATTTGGGGGCCCAAGGCGAACACAGACATGGGGCCCCTTACACAAAATTTTCGACAATCTTACCTTCAGCTGGATTTGCGAAACTCTCCCCTCTTCTGACATGAGTTATTTTCCCTTTTTATTAGTCCTCTTTTTTTCTGTTTTCCCTCCCTTTGAGCACTTTCAATATTTACTCTGCTTTCTTTTTCCTGTCAGTGCTCCTGTGCTTTTGCCTTTTTTTTTTTTTTTTCATTTTGATCTATGTTTTCCTCCCTTAAAACATTTTCCATTGTCTTTCCTTTCTGCTTCCTTTTGATGTTTACATCAAAAAACGACGTCACTTTCAGAAGTGAAAATAAAAGCTTTTATGAAGCATGCTGCTTTTTCTCTTAAGCTGGGCGGACACTGTGCGACTTTTTCACTCGTAACACTCAGCTTCAGCTCAAACTGTACGACTTCCTCGCAGGGCAGATCTCACGAGTCATGTGCTCACACTGTACGACCCCGTTCTCGGATGCGACCTGACTGCTCACACTGTACGTCTGGTAGCAACACGTCGGCCCTAAAAATATGCTAAAAATAGCAGTTTTTACACAACACGTCAGACTTTTTTGTCTTGTTTTGCCTGTTGTCCTTCGGGAGTGCTGCAGGAGGACACAGGGATTTATGGGGGTTGGATGAGGAAAACAAAATAAAGAAAGTAAATCTGTGTTTTGTGATCAGTTTAATTTGACATGAACACGACAAACACGCTTTCTTGACAATCCTTGTCACTGTGTGTAAAAAAAACGTGTAGAAATAAAACGAACAACGTGTGTTATTAGGGAAATAGCGGGTGAGCGGCGTTGATGCATGATTGCGCATGCGCCGTGAGCGGTTCTGGTACTTTTTGGGTTGCAGCTGCTCGCTGCACCGCTTCAACCCTCACGAGGAACGAGCAAAATATCAAACACTCCAGAAGTCCGTGCAAGCTCACGATTGCTGATCGGTAGCTGGTCACGTGGTGTTAATCGCCTCTCGTAACCCCCTGTACACTACACGACGCTCAGTGCAAAACTCGCCCCGATCTTGTGGATTCTCGCACGAGTGGAAAATCAGCTCAAAAAAGTGAAAAAGTCGCACAGTGTACGCCCGGCTTTATTGGAGCCACTAGGATAACTTCATTTCATGCTTAATGTTTTGACTATCGCATTGAGTTTGTTACGAACGCTCCCACCTCTCTTCTTTTTCTGCTTTCTCTTCTTATTATTTGTGGTCTTATGGCACTTGGCAAACAACAATTTGGTGCATTACCGCCACCAACTGGATATGAGAGGAATGACTACCACTCACTTCACGTGTGTGCATCACCATCTTAACCATAACCCCTTATGACCGTAATTATAACAGGGCCACCTGGTTCTTTTTTTTTATCTTATGGCTGTAAAATAGTAATAAAAGTACAAAGTGTGTGTAACTCTTCTCCTTTTTTCTGAAGAAACTCAGCTTTCAGTGTATGGTTTGTATGCGCTCTGGTTCTGCGACGCGCTCCAAGCCCCTCTCCACATCTTCAGCTCGCTGTGTACCTTATGTAGTGCACGCTGACAGCGAGCTGCGCTGAGCAGTGTCCAGCTCAGATGTTCAGATGGGAATCTTTTCTTGAGCGATTCAGCTACATCTGCGATTTGCGTGGAATAAAATATGTTTGTCTGCATGCGTCGGGGTAATTCATTCTCCGTCAAAATAAACGGTCAAATACGGGAACTGTCCGATCAGCACAAGCCCTGCTTTTAACTGTTCTGTTTTCTTGTGAAAATAGATAAAATTAAACTTGATTACCACCAGAGCCAGGTGCACTGCGCCGTTATCTCCGTCACTGTAAATGAGGGGAAAACAAATTGATCGGATCCTTTTCTGACCTTCCCCACCTACAAAGTTTAATTACAACAATCAAACGTGACAGAGCCTGGATTTGTATTCTGAACAGTCTAAACATGTTTTAAAAAGAAACGTATGACAAAAGTGGCACCTGCTCAGTAAAACCACCAACAGGGTGAAAAATATCAAAATATTGTAGGCAGAGACGGGCTACAACTTCTGGATCCACTTTATATAAATCGTTTTATTGATTATGTTTTTATGAAAGATAGCTTTGACGTACACGAGCGACCGGTACTGGCTGCTGTCACCTGTTGTGAGCAGCACTCTGCTGTCTGAGGGTAGGCCCCGCCCACAACGCCGCGGCTGCTGTGGCTCCCAGTGTTTTCTTTACTGTGGGAAATGGGTAATAATGGCTCTTTGATGGGAACAGGTTGCCGACCCCTGGTTTAAGTGTTTCAATTTTTTTTTTATGAATTCGATTAAAAATAAAGGTGCCCGGCCCGGCCCGTGTCCGAGGTAATTACACAGTCGTTGGCCTGAAGCCCGGCCCGAGGGCCTAGGGCTTCAGTGCAGGGCTCTAGCCCATAGCATTTGCTGGCAGTAGCTTTAGCAGCAGAGAGTGAGGTAGTGCCAACTCAGCGACTTTGTCACTGTTCCTACCGCCTAGTGATGAACCTAGCTACATTCATGAGGACCCTTAGCTACTTTCTTCTAGATATTTCCTGCAAATTAGCAACAAAATAGCCATTTTCGCTGTGAACCGTTCTTTGAACGTTGTTTCAGCTGTCATCAAGGATATAAATGTTACAGATACAAAAGACGTTACTGGCGCTTTAGCTCATCTAGGACGACGGACTCCGGAGCAGAAGATCCGGGTTCGAATCTAGATGTGAACATAATTTATTTAGAGTTTATTTTTTACATTAATGATATATTTTTTTACAGTAAGATGCCCAAATTTTTATTTGAGACTCGCATTGAATTCACAGATAAAAAAGATGTGGGTTCAACTTTCATTTTGAACAATTTTTCAAGCAAGGGAAGGGAAGCTCTGTGAAGCTGACGGACTGACCCATCTTAAACCTTTGTCGGCTGTGATGAAGAGAAAGGTACAGAACCAAATTATTTAATTAATTAGCTGCACGTTCTCCCGTCCTCTGTCCTCCGGGCCACACACACACACGGGACTGTCTCAGCTGTTATTTTCGTTAAGGAGTGTGCACGTACAGCATGCGCGCCTCGTGCACGAGCCTACTATTGAAGCTGCCGTTACGCTTTTTGCCTGAGGGGGATATTGCGAGCATAAAAATTCAAAACTCCGTAAAGTCCCTTTAAACAACATTTTTATGTCTCTACATTCATCTTTTATGATGATTAGTTCTGTAATGTATTTTAATTTTTTTCGCCCTAAATGTTCTTGATCTTTAAATTCAAGTACATATTTGTATGCTTGCTTTGCAGATGATAGCAGATCTGTCACAAGTCGAAACAACAGAACAAACTCCTGAAGCAGCTGCATCTCCTGTGACACAATGTGACATGATGGATGACTGCATGTCTGGTCACAAACACTCCTCTACCACAGTGAATCGTGCAACACAGTATGGATTCAGACAGCTCATTCCTTATCGTTCTACAGGTAAACTATAACATGCAGAGCACAAAATGTCTTCACAATTTAAAATTTCCAAGATTTCCACAAAACTGTTTGATTCACAAACTACGTTGTGATGGCTAATGTAACACAAAATCATTACATTAAAAAATGTCTATTCTCAGCAACACAGGTTGACCTACATCCGTCCACCAGGGACATGGGGACTCAGTATGAGGAGAGTGATGTGTTGTGGCACTCAACACCGTTATCATCGCCAGTATCGGCACTTGAGCCCCTAGATGACCAGGATGAGAGCTACGATCCATTTGGTGAATCTGAACCACCCACCCTCCACTGGTAGGACAGGACCGGAACAAACAATGGCTAATTCCAGGTACCTGATGGACACACCCTAGGAGAAGTTATATAATTATGTGTGATTTATTTCAATGTATCTTTCGGTGACCGACAGGATCAAGTGCAGCAGTTAAACTGGAACAAGTAGCATGCCAGCCGTTGTTTGTGAAAGATGTCAGACAGCTGTCACCACAGCATCAGACATATTCACTCGAAGCATTCCACTCCCTGATCCTGAAATTTGCTCCGAAGCATACGGGGTTCTCGTTCCTGGTCATGTACACTAGGCAAGCATTATTGAGCGCGTGTGTGTGTGTGTGTGTGTGTGTGTGTGTGTGTGTGTGTGCGTGCGTGCGTGCGTGCGTGCGTGCGTGCGTGTGTGTGTGTGTGTGTGTGGGCTTGTGACTATGTTTTCTGTTCCAGTTTCTCTATTTCAGATTGCTGCTGGCTGCTCTCCATTGTAACAGCAATGGCAACAGAGACATGGCCAGAACCAAGGCTGGTGTGAACAGATATGCAGTGCGCTATCTGCGCTTTAAAAAAGGTGGATGGTCTGTGCAGCCAGTCAAAGATAAACCGACTTATGGTAAAAAAAAAAAAATTTGTTTAGTAAATATTCCGTTTATATATAACTGATTCTTAAATTATTTTGATTACAGAGTATGCCACAGCTCTGCAGCAGGCTGCAGGAGAACTACAACAAGAACCCTCAGCTACCGAGCTCCTCAGTAACTACAATGAGGGCTGCAGATCCTGGACCCTG